TGTAAATAACTGAATTTATATAAGTTCTTCTATATTCTTATTATAATTTAATATGAAGTTATAGCATAAGTGCTCGATCGTGGGCTTGCGAGTTAGAATCTCAACAACTCAATTATTAATCGTATGATTTTGGGATACTTAACCTCTTGGAGTCTTAGTTGACCTCTTAAAAATGGGGAGAATAGTACCTACTTGGTAGGATTGTTATATTAAATGAAATCATTAAAAATACTTAGTCTTGACACCTAGTTACCACTCAGTAATGGTATATATAAAACAGCTATGTAAGTAAGGCCTAAAGAAAGTTATAAAATTAGTTTATCACTAGATTTACATGTGTTATATCTCAGGGAACTGTGGAAATTTCACTTACTACAAAAGAGTCACAATTGAAACAAAATTTGAGAAAATAATATAAGAGATGTTCATAAATTTTCCAAACAAAATGTTTAGGATATGAGATGTATAGACTAGGAAGTTTGACTTCAATGCACAGCAAAGTTCTGGAACAATAAATCAAGCAGATGGATGGTTTGTGACAATTTAGTAAAGACCGTAGTGGTTGCTAGGAGCCACCATGGTTTTATGAAAAACAAACGTTTTCAAACATCTATTTTTCTTTTAAATAGTATTACGTGGTGTGTAAAACCGAGGAATGGTCTTTTAGCAAAGAATCTATTTGTCTTCTTGTAGATAGGATTGTAAAATATGGGCTAGATGATAGTACTGCTGGGTTTGCAACTCGACAGCAATTGAATCTAGCTTATTAATATCTTGGTTATCTTGATGGGGACTTCTGGTGGAATACCATGGAGCTCTGACATACAACCTTCCCACTTATGACCTTAGCTGGGAATTTGGATAAAGGCATGTGACATGGATACGTACAACCAAATATGCAGATGGCCTTATGTTGAGAGGGATGGTAAATATAATGGATGAGAGAATCAAAATGCAAAGTATTCCTGATCATCTGAAGCAGTGCATGGAACCCCAAAAGATTAAATTTAATGAAGGTGAAGATTTTAAGCTCAAAGATCAAGCCTCAGTAAGAAAGGAGATATTGCTTGGTAAAAATCGAGGTAAAAATAATCTAGTCATTTAATTGACCCTAAGCTTCATACTCATTCATTCTTTTGCTCTTTCATTCCTTCAACAAATATGCATTGAAAGTACTACCAGCCATGTACTTTTCTTGACATTTCGGAGGTAGTAGTGAACAAAATAGTCAAAAACCCCTACCTCCATGGAGCTTATATTCTTTATAGGCTAACAGTTATACAGCTAGCTGCCTTTAAAAAAATGAACCTAATGTCAGGCTTCATTTACAAAAGTATAATATCCACTCCTGATGGTTAATAGTTCTATTCTATTATTTAATACCCTATTCTTGATGCTGTATTTTGCACCTGGATCATTACTTTCAGTTCTGAACACCATAGTCTGGACAGACAATGACAATAACATGAAGAGAGGCATATAAGCCATGTGGGAGGAGGACTGGTCGATGATAAGAGGAAAAGACCAAGCACAACAAATGCATGCCCTCTTCTTATATATCCTGTAAATATTTGATGAATTAAATATTCGTCAAATATTTACAGGATATATAAGAAGAGGGCATGCATTTGTTGTGTGTTGCTCCCAGGAGTCCCTGCAGTAAGAAGGAGGCTGGTTTCTGATAAATACAAGAAAAAGTGCCTGGGAAGTGTCCTACGTACAGCCAGGTGCTCACCTGTGTGGGCTCCATGAGGGCTGAGACGTTGCTCTTATGATTCCTAGTACTGTGTCTGGTACCTGGTGGGTCCTCAGAAACGTGTGGATGGAGCAGTACCCGTCTAGTTCACTTGGGGTACCGAATTGACATTATGTGAAGATAACCTAGGTATTAAAATAATGTTAAAATTCAAAGTTCAGTGTTTGTATATCTTAGGGAATCTGAAGGTAGATTAAAGTACCTGAGAACAGCTGTGTGAGGCCATAATGTTTCCTTCTATCATGTTCTAACATATACAAGTTAATTAAACTACTTTTCTTAAGGGACATTTAAGAGGCCATTTTAGGATTTCTTTGAAATTTCTGAAATGTGCCTATTCAGACATTACCCAACCCAGCTCGACTCCCATCATTTTCTTGAGGCCTTCACTGTAATTCTGACCCAGACAGAAAGCCTTGCTTTCTCTAAACTTAGTGGCAATTCTACAGAGTTCAGCATTTAATTCTTTCCTAATTGCTTCATGGTTTCCTCTATCTAGGTGATGAGCTTGTTGAAGGCAAAACCTTATTTTATTTTTTTATTGTATTCTTCCAGTCACATAGCAGAAGGTAGGCAAATGACAATGTCTTGATAGCTTGATTCGTTAAAAGGGATAGTCAGTAGATGTATCATTCCAGCCACTTAAGAAGTCATGTAAAACATGGCAGGGGAAATGGACTCTAATTTCTCCATCCCCCACATCCAAAGAAGGGATTATATTCTTAATGTATTAGAGTCTCCTACTTTGGCTGGGCGAGCGCTTTGTACATAGTTGATTCTTTGTATATAGTTGAATCTGTATTAATAGATGTACTCCAAGGCTCAGACTGCCTTCTGGGCTCAACGTCTGAGGGCAGCTGGATGCAGGGACAAATTCCTAAGCCCAGTGTAGAGGCTCATCGACTGTGATTCATGTAAGTAGCATGGCCAGAGTAAGCACGTGAAAACACAGGGCATACAGTTACAGTTGAATTTCAGATAAACAACAATGCAATATTTGAGACATACTTATACTACAAAAGTATTTATTGTTTATCCAGAATTAAATATAACTGGATGCCCTGCATTTTATCTGGCAACCCTACATATCAACCTCATTCCTTTCATGTTCTTGTGAGTATAAGCTCCTAATTAACCCCCAACTTAACTCGACTGAAAGAAAATATTTATGCCCATGTGATTGATTCCACTGGCAAATTTAAAACAGTAATAAAAGGAAAAATCCATATGCTTACACTTTTTGTGGTCATATTCTTTCAGTTATAACCAATAATGACAATTCCACAAACATCTAGCATCTCAGCAGTCTCAAATTAATTTGTCTTGCTTTCCTTGATGACATAGTTTACTCTGTCCATATAATATATTGGTGATATTATTTTGCTCATGTATCACAGTGACCACTGTTAACAAATGATTAGGCTTATACATTGGAATCAGGTGAAATATGAATTTAATATAACGTATCATCTCAGCTCCTACAAACAACCGCATTGACTAATGAGATGAATGAATCAAAGCAAAGCATTGTTACTCTCAGTTATCTGTTTTGTTCCCGTCTTTCATCTGCTCGAAAACAAGATAATATTCTGGTTTGTTCCACCATATAAACTTCTTTTTGAGGAGCAGACATCTCACACTTAAAAAGATTG